AATGCCTTTTTTCTCCTTTGGAATGGGAAACTGCTTGGACTGGCCTCTAAGAGCGGTAAGACCATGTGTTCGCTCACCTTTCTAAGATTTTGATTGATTTTATGGTGCAGTTGGAAAATGACAATTGTAAATAAAGCTAAATAATTTTACGAATCCTAAATATTGAGATTTTCTGTGTACAGTTTCTGCTTTTATTACGGTAAAATCACTTGCAAATACTTTTTACAAAAATCTCCACACAATAAAATCTAATATTAGGTCTATAAAGCTCAGGTTTAATTTCCCGTTTTTATGCAGGAAGTTTGTCTGCTGTATGGTTTACAGCTGCATTTAGTTAAACACATGTTGAAATAATTTACATAAAGCACCAGATGTCACAAAGAATAAAGAGAAAAGCGTTTCAACATCCTTGTTTGTCTTTAAGGGCATCTTTTGTCGCCTGTTCCCCGGTTGTTTAGCTTGCCTCTTGCCTGCCTCCGAGCTTGTTTACTCTTCTTGCAACAGTGTATAGGTGTGAGGTGCCAGTCTGCACAAGTGGCAAGTAAACTGTTATGAATAATGAGCGGAAAGTTGGCATCATGTTGCTTTATCATGGATGTATTTAGGCCACCTTTCTGGCATGTTTTTCTATGCTGACATTGTATATACACACGCATGTAGGCCTTTTTCTGCTACTCCGGTTGTACAGTGAACACAGATGTGTCTCAGAATTTAATAGGATAGCYTTTTGTTTGTTTTTAAGAATAAAATCCACAATGACTTTTTTTAAAATAATCCTCCAAATCTTCTTTCCACTTCTCTCACTTGCACTCTGCTCTGTCTCTGCGTGCCGATGGACAGATGCTCCAGGATGTTGAGAGGAGACTCAGACTTGTGCTGTCATGTGAGGAGATTGGCCAATCAGGGTATCTTGGGCCTTATCAGGACTCCATTGTTTCCATGACTCAAAACTGCGTTCTCGTGAGCAACATACTGGGACAAACCTGTGTCTTCTTGAGTAAAGGCATGGCAAAGAGCAGGCAGGCTGTACGTAAGTCTTGACAAACACGCTTCCTACCTCTGCTTCTGTTAAAGCTAGAAATACTTTTATTATCATAGCTGGAGTAATAACATATTTTGTTGTGCACTTATTGTGACAAGTACATTCCTGTATCTTTCATTTATCAAAATCTTAAAATCTAGAAAAACTAAGTTCATCCCGATTAATTAAATGTGCCTTTACCAGTCGAAACTTGAATTTGTTTCGTTCTGCATGACGTTACCGGTCTATTTGTGAAGGATTTGTCTGATTCAGGTTATTTGATTGTGTCAGTGGAAAACTGAGTTGTCTTTTTCTTGCTTTCTGATCTTYATTTTCTGCTGTGTTTAGGATCATTCTGCTGCAATGACTCAACAGAAAACAAACTTTAAATGTATGACTGTCATCTTCACATTTGACTGAAAAATACTTTGATATACAGAAGCATGTATGTTCAGTAAGTGACTGCAAGGTGCTCAAGTCTTGTGGGTATAAAACAAGCCCAAACCATCACACCATCTAGTGCGATSTTTCTGCTGACTCTCTGTTTGCTTTACCACCATATTTCTACTGATAATCATGGTCAAACACCTTCGCTTTGGTCTTGCTTCTCCAGTGTCCCAGAACTTAGGCCCCTGTGAGGTGAGCTTGTGGAACATCTTCTCCTGTGACATCAGCAACATTATAAAGTTCTCAAATGTTTTCCTCTTGTAAATATTATTTTTCCACTCACAATGACTGATATCAAATTGTTTGGAACTGACTTCATAACCAGTCAGCTGATGGGTGCTAGCATCTCTTTCTCATTAGACTGTGTTAACACACAGTAGATCAGCAAACAGGCAAAACTGATTTATACAGGTTCTCGAACTTGTTAAAAATAGTACAATAAGTACATAACACTGGCTGCTTTATACTGTTATGTTTTTGTGGGATGCATGTGGTTATTTTGAGGTTGTTTATATTTAACAAATAATGGCAGCTGTCATGCTTTTTGAGGTTATAAAGGAAAAACTTGCTCAGAACCAAATAATTGTTACTGTAACATACAGCCCATAGAAACAATGATGACTTTAAACAGAAAACATATGTAGATGAAATATGGAAGAATAAACGTTTTTAAAACGATGTGATGTCTCACACAGGATCAAACACCTCCCGGTTAAAATAGCCCACATTTAAATGGGACTTGTGGGATCTGCATGAAAATATTAGAGCTGCAAAAAATGAAGTATATGTGTGTTATTTTGGAGCAACATGGGGTTCAATGTTTTTGAAGAACATAAACCTAAAGAGCAATGAGACTGAACTTCCAACCTTACAATACGCTAACACCTGAGCTAAATATTATATAAGGCTGAAGCTCTAATTGAATAAAATAGTTTTGTGCTAAGTCTGGAAGTGAAAAGCAGACAATTGTCTGATTTAAACAAACAATTCAGACATATGCTGTTCAATCAGATGTTTAAAAAAGTTTTACTGCACAGTGTAAATGTTTTGGGGTGTGAGGGAAACCCACACAAGTACAAGGAGAAGATGGAAACTCCACACCAAACTTCCCAGGTCTAGACTGGGGATTGAACCCAAGACCTTCTTGCTGTGAGGTGTCAGTTCTAACCACTGAGCCACCACACTGCCTATGATGAAAACTCTTTCTTTCCCTACGCCATTTTATTGCTACTTTTTCCTTTTTATATTTTGTGAAATGCCACAGATATTAGGAAAAACAGTCAGATCCATAAATTTTGGGACATTGACACAACTCATCTATTTGGCTGTAAACACAACAATAGATTTGAAATAAAACAAATAAGATGTACTCTATCTGCAGACTTTGATCTTTAATTTAAAAGTATTTACATCCAAATCAGGTGAACGGTGTGAATTACAACCGTTTGTATTTGTGACGCACACTTTTTAAGGACCTAAAGTAATGGGACAAATTAACATTTATGATTAACTTTCAAGTTTTAATATTTTGTTGCAAATCCTCTCCACTTGCAGCAAAATGAATTCTGATGTGTTTTATGTGCTCTTACCCAGCTAAAAGCTTCAGAAGTCACTTCACACTGCAGATGGACAATGATCCTAACCATACTGTTAGGATCATTGTCCAGTGTAAGACAAAAAGGTAGAATGTTATGCAAAGGCCAAGCCAATCACCTGACCTGAATCTAATGGATTCACTTGCTAAAGACAAAACTGAAGAGAAAATGCCCAAAAAACAAGCAGAAAGTGAAGACAGTTGCAGTAAGGCCTGACAGAGCATCACCAAGGATGAAATCCAACATCTGCTAACGTCAGTGTGTTCCAGACTTTAGGCTGTAATTGACTGAAAAAGATTTGCAACTAAATATTAAAAGATGAAAGTTTAATTGTTAACTGGTCCCGTTATGTTTAGTCCTTTAAAAAGTGTAATGCACATAAGCAACCTGTTGTAATAAAACATTTGTCTGATTTGGATATGAATACCTTTAAATAAAGTTTGCATTTAAAACACACCTTCTTCATTTCATTTCAAATCCATGAGAAAACATGAGAATTGTGTCGATGTGTCAATATTTGTGGACACAGGGCCATGGGAAGCAGAGGTGCAGAAGGAGCTGCAGCACCACCCATTGACTGCAGGAGGACATTTGTCCATTTATTTTTCTTGGCCCACTTTTCCATGTAGGAGAAAATGCCTGCATTTCCAAATCCAAATTCCTGGTCAAGGACAAAAAAAGAGCAAAAACGAGAGTTCCCAGTGGAGCAGTGGTTAAAGCTGTGGTCTCACAGTTCCACCTCCCAGCCTGGAGCCTTCCTGTGTGGAGTTTGCATTTTCTCCTTGAGCGTACGTTGGTTTTCCACCAGTTGCTCTGTTTTGTTCCCTTTAACCAAAACATGCATGTTGGTTAATTGATAACTGTCCATGACAYTGAGAGGATGAATGGTTGGTGGCCTCGTTTGTCTTTGTGTAGCCCTGACTTGGGACCTGTCCGGGATGGACTCTGTCTCACAGTGATTGCAGTTTGATGTAAACATGTTACAAAAACCATTGCTGTTATTGTACAGCTGCATAAAACCTACAATAAATGGGCAACGTGCACTAAAAGTGTGCTATCCATTGCCTGGATTTGGTATTATGGGTGTTTAGAGTCATAAAATCACACATCCTTATTGTCCCCACAAATTTAACAGCTGTGTGTTCAATAACTTAAGTTGTGAAGACTTTGAGGAAAGTGAATTAGCGCAAGTTTTAGTTTAGGAAGGATTTTTAAAAAGTATTTGCTTTTGTATTGAAAGTGATTAAGAAAAACTTTATTTATGTACAAATATTATATTGAAAGCCCCCCAGAAAGTGTCGTGATGTGACCTGAGATGTCAGTTGTGACCAAACTGGTGTAGTGACAGCCTGACAGTGACAGTGCTGACGCTCCGGTGTGTTTAGCTCAGAGTTGTGGCGTTGTTTTGGGCTCAGATGCCTCGTGTGTTTTCTGACTCAAAACTTGTGGTCTGTATGTTCTTTGAGCCTGACGTCAGCAGTTTGTGTTGTTTACACGTCTCATTACTCCTGCTGTTAACCCCTGAGAGCTCTGGGATATGTCTYCCTCTTTCTGCCCTTTAATGGTTGCTTTCACTGGGTGCAACTTCTTTAAAAAAGAAAAAAAAAACACATATAAAAGGAACCAGGAGCATTCCTTTGTGAACTCCAGAGTTAGGGTTCCCGGTGCTTGATAAGAATCAGCCTATTTAAAGTGCTGTCTTTCTGATGACAGACATTTTCATTAGCTCGTTTTACTGTTCGGCATTTTTTACACGAGATTTACAAGAAGGCAGAAGATTTGTAGTGAAGATTTCTGTTCCAGTCACAGCGTTGCCAGCTGTACATTTATTTCACTGATATAAAGATGTTTTCTTGTTTTTTTTTTCACATGCAGTTTTCCTGTTTTACTTGTTTAAAATCTTTTTTGAATAATAATGAAACTTTATGTCTCAACAGGACAGAGAGCTCCGGCCCGAAGAAATGGACGGTAAGACTTTGTTTCATTCTTATTGAGCCAAATTAAACTGTTCAGCAGTATCACAAAATAAAAGTAAATATGAAAATATGAAACTATATGAGGCAATACAAAATACAGCCTTGTATAAGGTACATACACTGCCTGGCCAAAAAAAAAAAAAGTCACACTCTAATATTTTGTTGGACCACCTTCAGCTTTGATTACTTCACACATTTGTTGTAGCATTGTTTGGATAAGCTTCTGCAACATCACAAGATTTATTTCATCCAGTGTTGCATTAATGTTTCACCAAGATCTTACATTGATGATGGTAGAGTCTGACCTTCTCCAACACATCCCAAAGATTCTCAGTGGACTCTGTGGAGCCAGTCCATGAGTGAAAATGATGTCTCATGCTCCCTGAACCACTCTTTCACAATAAGAGCCCCATGAATCCTGGCTTTGTCATCTTGGAATATGGCCGTGCCATCAGGGAAGAAACAATCATTGATGGAATAACCTGGTCATTCAGTATATTCAGGTCAGCTGACCTCATTCTTTGAGCACAGACTGTTGCTGAACCTGGACCTGACCACCTGCAGCAACCCCACCTCATAGACCTTAGTTAAATCCAGGTGGACACTTAAGATAAGATAAACCTTTATTGTCATTGTACAGAGCACAATGAATTTACAGTTCAGAACACCCATTCAGAAGAAGACAGAACWTAACAAACATAGGAGAACAGGTGCCCTGGGTCATGCAGCTATAGACCCCTGCACAGAGCAAGGATCATCTTCATGAAGACATCGTGAGGAGGTACAACCCTTAAAAGAAAAACAAAATACCACACAAGGATAGATGAGGGGGAAAAAACATCTTATATCAACGAAATGTGACACACTATGGTGTTTCTAGAAAATAACCTCTGCAGAGCAAGAGCACACTTTGTTTTTGGCCAGGCAGTGTATCTGGTATTTATAGGGTAAGTAGGTAGGTAAGTAAGTAGCACATTTTGAGGTTCCTGACACATTTTATTAGCAAGCTTAGGAGCAGAAATAGCTCTTCTGATTGTAAAAGTTGCAGATCCCAGCCCTGTACTGAGTTTATATTCATTTTGTAGTGAGTATTAAGCATATTTAATAGGTATGTTCCTGATTCTTACTGGGTATTTGGTATGTACTTGGTACATACACCTTAAGTATCAGCATACAAATATCAACGCATATGCTCTATGATTCACTGCAGTCCAAGCTGTCTTTGTTGTACTGATACTGCAATGGTGATAAATGTTTAATATGCTGTTTTATGCAGGCCTAGTACCAATAAGGTTTGAGTATATACCAAGCTGTAATTTGTATTGCGACTTTTAGTATATGTAAATATAAACAATGCTATGCAGTTATTGGTTTCAGAGGCGTGCAGCTAAGTGATTAATGTAACACCTGCTGTTACAACAGAGCTGCGAGATGCTTTCAAAGAATTTGACAAAGACAAAGATGGTTACATCAGCTGTAAAGACCTGGGGAACTGCATGAGGACCATGGGATACATGCCAACAGAAATGGAGCTGATAGAACTAAGTCAACAAATAAATATGAACTGTAAGCACAAAAAACTCATATATCATTTAAAGAGACTATGTAATGTGTGTGTTTGAATATTTACTGTATGTATTTTCTTTTTTTTTTTCATCAGTAGGAGGTCATGTTGATTTCGATGATTTTGTGGAGTTAATGGGCCCAAAACTTCTTGCTGAAACTGCAGACATGATTGGAATAAAGGAGTTAAAAGATGCATTTAGGGAGGTAAGAATGACTGGACCTTTCATTGGTTTAATAATTAATTAAGTTACTGTGTTTTTGAGCATTCACCTATTTTGTCTTGATGGATATGATTAGTTCAAAAACAAGTAAATTTGTGTTTGGTAGATTATTTATTTGTTGTAACAATGCTTCTTGGCAATAAATCTTATGCTGGACACCTGATTGGCTTGAACTGYCGGTACCAAAAGCTCAAAACAACCGTCAAAAGCAACAACAAAATAATCTATTTGGCACATTTTTCACGTGCGCAACCCACYTACTCAGCTCTACCGCWCATCCCACAAATGCATGTTCCTTACAAATAGGGGAAAATAATGACTTTCCAACGGTATAAGATTTATTGCCAAGAGGCATTGTTTTAACAAAATAATCTACCAAACACAAATTTCTTTACGATTTTGTGCAAAGTTTGTATTTTTGTTTCTTTTTTCCCAGTTTGACACAAATGGAGATGGGGCCATAAGCACGTCTGAGCTTCGAGACGCTATGAGGAAGCTTTTGGGCCAACAAGTAAGRGTTGGATCAAATAAATGAGAGTTTATGATAAATTTCTCCCTGAATAGACAAAGTGTAAATGGACTTCTGTTCACTTATGTTTTTTTTTTCTTTTTTCCACCCCCAGGTAGGTCTAAAAGAAGTAGAGGATATCCTAAGGGATGTGGACTTGAATGGTGATGGTCTTGTTGACTTTGAAGGTAAAATGATTATCTAATGGGCAATAATGTTTTTGCCTGTGTTTGTGTGTGTGTGGGGGGAGTGGGGGACTCAGTGGATGAATGTTATTAAAACTATTAAAAAAACTATAAAAAGTAATTATTGTCAGAATGGAGGTGAGATGGTGGTTCAGCATGAAAGGTGGTGTGTGATGTGGATTCCTTTAAGTGGGATACTACGCAGTTGTTTTATTTGGTTTGACCCTCCATCTTCCTTCCCCCTGCAGAGTTTGTACGTATGATGTCTCGCTAAGATCATAAAACCAATGATCAGTCTTGAATGTGAAGCTGTGTCCTTCTTCACYCAAATCCACGAATAACCAAGGACATGCCAAGATCCCCTGAGCCATTCAACTCTAAATGACACTGGAATTCAGA